TTGTTTTAAATTTATATATGAACTGTGGATCAAAATTCATTAGAAACGAAAATTCCATCGAAACTTTCAGATAATAATTTGGGGAAAAAATGGATATGCGATTTTAAACGAGGAAGAAATAATCAAATTTTTAAAAATTTCCGTTTTTTTATCAAGTACACGATAAGATTCTAGTGTAAAATGCTAAAGTTTGGTCCTCGAGATGAATGTTTTATCGATACTAATTTCACTATTTCGCGAAATAATAACGATCTTTATTTATTTAATTTTTTTTTTTTTTCGAAATTGGCGAGATTACGTAAAATTGGAAACTGTAACACACGCCTCGTTGCTGCTGAACAATCCAATACCTAAAAATGTGTGATCACAGATTGACAGAAGGCATGTAACATACAATATATTATAGATACAGTCAAGAAGATATACGCCATTTGCGGTTGATTCTCGGTCGATAATGATAAATAGAATTACGAGGACGAGCTATATACTTATATGAGCTATTTATGTACAAACGAATGCGTTTCATATTTTCAGTTTAGAAGTTTTTCCTGATCCACCCTTCACGAGCGAAGAAAATTAAAAAGTACACTTAATATCCTTAAGAGTATTTGGTATTTATGCGAGAAGAAACGTGTGTGAATACTTTTCGATTCTTTCCTCTTTTTCTTACCGTGGAGAACGACAAATTTCTCAAAAATAATAAATTAATCATCCAATTGGAAGTGATTTTTTTTAATAAATCTTGGATACGTAATATACATAAAAAAAAGTAACTATTGTCAAATTGCTCAGATCCATAATGTAAAATAAATCATATTATTATAATTCAATTGGCAAAGACGAGGAATGAGCGAAAAATCATCATTTTGACAATTTTCAAGTTTAGCTTCAAGTTTCAAACGAAACGAAGTAAACAGAATTTAAAGTAATTATGATTAAAAATAAGACTAACATGGAGAAATTTGTCGTGGAAACGAGAATAAGTTAAGAACAACTTCCTCTTACAATCAGAATCGTGATATAATAGTATTTTAGCTATATTTTATATATATATAGTATATCATAAGAACGAGTAACATATAAATTTCTGCCCTTTATAACATTGGAACCATTATAATATTTAACTTTATTCTTGTTTCCCATTCCCATTTATATATATATATGTATCTGACGTTAATCTATTAAATACGATATTAATTAATTCAGTCGCGTTTCCTTTTCTTATTTCTCCATCTTTGCAATGTAATAATTAAACTGCGAATATCAATGCAAAAATTTGTAAATATTTGCATGATGATTTGACACTTGAAAATAAAGCGAATCTCTATTCATCTCTCCTTTTATAATATCCATCGTTTAAAAATTTTGCATAAAAATTCGCAGTCCATTGACGACTTTGAATTTCTAATTTCTAATCCCCGCGACATCCCGATTATTTTGAAAAATGCTCTTTCGATCGACCCAGTCTTTATCGTGAGATTTTTTTTTATACTTTCGAAGCGAATGTTTGGATAATATTTTAAATGAGAATGAGAATTAAAATTAAAACGTTCGTCCAAAAAATAGAGTTTTTTTCTTGTCGATCAATATTATATATAGAAAATTTTTGATCAGAAAATGCGAGGAAAACGGATGATGTAATGATAAAATAGAATTTCATCTTTAGGAAAAAAGAAAATGAAATAAGAATCGAATATAATGAAAAAAATATAATGTTGAATATTCCATAACTTCTTAATTTTTTCATTTTCTAAAAAAAAAAAAAAAAATGATAATAAAATCGTTTTACAATGGGGGCAATAAAAATTTGCGAATTGGAATAATTAATGTGGGCGGGATAAACGTCGATTAA